ACTATATCATATCACACCTTCATCAAAGCTACTATTTTCAACGACAGTTATTATCAAACAAAATGCGTTCCTGAAGTTGGGCCCTGTATAGTTATACTTTATGTATTGGAATACGATTTCGTGATTTTTTTACCAGGAATTTTTGCAACACCCTGTATACACATGTGGTAGAAAATTTGAATTCAGAGAAAAAAAATGCAAAGGAAAGTCTGGATTCAAAAAAAGAAGTTTGAATTCACAGGAAGATGTCTGATTGAACCGAGGAATAAAGAGATGACATGAAATACACAAAACAGTGACCTCTGTACGCCTTCGTAAGATTTGGTCGGATACCTAGTTGTTAATTTCGACGGAATAATTGGTGGTGTCTTTTTCATGATTATCATGGTGATACCTTGATTCTAGGGAATCGTTGCGAAACTCTCAAGTACATAAATAAATTTTGTAATAACCTTATGCGACAACGATGTAATTGAAGTGTTCATCCCACACGTTTTTTCATCCCACACGAGAAAACGTGAACCCTGCGATTGTCCTGTCCTCCACTATCCACTGTTGGTTTTGTCGTCCATTCAGTTTCTTCCAAAGGCATCCAGTATTTATTTTCGAAAGGTTATCGTTACTAATTTTTCTCTAAGAAGGTTGCTAAAATAGGTGGATTTATGGGCATTCTAGAGAAAAAACGTATGGTTGTCGATTGTGTTTTGACATGAAAATACAATAAAAAACCACTGATTACTCGTAGGAATGCCTGTACTTGTCTGATTTCCCAAATCTGGTTGAATAATTTTTTTATGTTCCATTCCATCTCTCTCTGATTGCAAATTATGAAATAATTATCATTGTATGAATATATTTTTCAATGTATATATTTCACTGAAAACTAACAGAACAGTAGAAAAAGAAATGTTTGCATGGGATAAACCTTCCTCATCATCTAAGAAACTTATGTGAAATTTAAAAATTGAAAGTTCCCCTGACCCTCGGGGTGCCTCGGTAATGACCACGTAAAGGTTGGAACAAATTCGTTCAAAGCTTGATATGGCCAGTTCGATTTTCTTTTTCAGTTGTCCATTTTTTTTTTGGTATTCTGATATTTTTGATGGCGTCATTATAGTGTTCGACGTCATCATAATTTTTTTTTCAAATGGCATCACCCTATTTTCATGAAAGATATTCCTTCCATTATAATTTAATTTATAAAAATGACAGCAGGGCTAAATAAACCTACAATCTATTGCGCAACTGAATTAGACAATCGATGTGTCTGAGCTTTTTCCCCAATGGCCATATCAAGAAATTCTTCCAACCTTGACGGGCTCACTGATGTATATGTTTGTATATCTGGTTACTATTTTATAACATTCTGGATGACAAACTGACACAGTTTCTTATCGACACTAGTTGCAATTCATGTGATGGTAAGTTGGTCGCAATATTTTCGTCACCAAATAACGATAGTTATCAATCGATCTCAAGCACGTATAAAAATTAAACCATTCAGATTCAGCTTGGTATCGATTTATCCGTGCCAGGAAGCGATTGCGCCAATTCCCGTCTGATATAATTATACTGCTGCCGTTTGATGAATTCAGGGGAGACAACCCCTGAAAACCCCCGCAGGTACGCTCGCGGCTCATACTGATGTGCTCAAGCTCACCACGGCGCTAGATTGTGGGCATTTATACGTTGGATTTGAATTACAAATATGTCTCGTCTAGCGATATTTCATTTCGCCAATCGAATCGCATATTTTTCCGCGCAGGGGTAAGTGCGAATGTGACGTCATAAATTGTCGCGGCCGTCACATTTCACTTGTCACGAGCACGGCGGTGTCCACTCCGGCTGATATTTTCGGTCGGCGAATTTTTTCCACGACGGGAAATGCTACAAGGAAAACGTCTTATATACGTATATAGAATGAAAATCACGTTCGGCCTGACACTCGAAAAAAAAAAGTGGAATTGTGTTTCGCCTTTCTTGGAGATGGCCAGTAAGTAATTTCTCGGATTTTGTGCTGGGCCAATGAGCACACTCTATACACAGTTGGAGATTGCAAAATAGGAAATTGGATCGTAGACAACCATCCAATTTTGTTCGCGATTATTATAGGAAACTCAATCCTCAAAAATACCTCCTTTCTTGTTTCTTCTCTCTGTTCAGCTGTCGAACCACTTCCAAAGAATCTAAATACCTGACAAAAAAATATTTGACATCATACTGTTGTTTATTTCATCTAGAGAATGACATTTCTTGATCTTGTCCTCGAATATAATAAGTTTTTATTGGACATATACAGGGTGTTTCATAATATGCACACTTCCAGATGTAATAGGGGGTCTCAAAGAAATTAAGAAAATTCCATAGGTCGAAGAAGGCTTCGTTCGCGAGATACAGGGTGTTAGAGTTGAAAATAAAAAAATAATTTTCATTGAATTGCTAGATAACCATTTTACTCGATTATTTGGGATTTTCCCTCCTCGTTTCTATAAAATGAAAATATGAGTATTATTTCAATATATTATTGTTTAGTAGGACACATCAGATGATTTGCCCCAAATTGTCACTTCATTTAACGAATTTTTCTATCAGAGAGCCTAAAAGAAAAATCCAATACCTTGTCAGTGACACTTCGTTTGAAAAAATGTTTGAAGAGAAGAAACATAGATATTTTGAGAAAATATCGAATTATTTATTACATGGTATTCACTGCTGAAAACTGAACATGAGAATGGTAGATTCATCCAGGGGCCAACCAAATTTACACATCAGGCACAAGGCCCACTTCTCAATCAACAGACTTTTTGTTATTGTTCCCAATTAGTTGTCACCAATCATCTGACACAATATGTGCAATTATATTATGGTGGTATTTTCTTGTATAGAAGCAATTGCAGACATGAAGTTTGGAAACTACCTACCTACCGGCTAGTATGCATTGGAAATTACATCTCAAGCTTCCCTTGGCAGCGCCACTAAATACATATTAGATAAACTGTCACTTACACGTTCAACGAACATTCTCTGCAAGGCAAAACAAAACTAAACCTTTGTAATGTGCTCCGCTTTTGTTATATTCCACTCGATTAGATTTCGATGAAACTTTCAGGCACCTTCCGCCCGATTTCAATACTTAGCAACCTTCGTTATTAATTTCATAGGGATAATAATATATCTCGAACAAGCTTTTGCAACTATTCCCAGGCAAACAGGAATAATTAAGTATCCCAGCATCCGGTTGCTGGTTCCAAATCTGCGTCCTTCATTTCTTGTTCAAAGGGTTGAGGCACTACGTTGTCACTTGAAACAATATCAGTTCATACGGTAGTCATTTGCCACTGTCAAATCGATAAATAAGATTGATTGAAAACTTGAAATATCATAGCTGTTCATTATTATGACTCATTGAATAATTAATATTTCTGAAGTTCCCAATCGTATTTCAACACATTGCAACTGTGCTATGGTCTACCCCTATACTTACGAAATCGTGAAGTCAGTTTTTACTCGCGGTAAATTTCTATCTGTTGAAAATTACCGTGGCATTATTGATAATTTTAGCACCTGAAAATCGACCGAAAAATTCTAAAAAAATATGAAAATTTGATTCTATTTAAGAAATTAAAAAAAATAGTCCACTCACCTTTTGTCAAAGAACTTATTGAAGAATTAAAGACAACTTGTGAAAACGAAAGAGATAATTGAGCAGAAATTACAGAGAAATGAGTACATAAAACGAATTTCTCTGTTAGATATCAAAACTGGTGAAATATTAATATCGAAAACATTTTTTTTGTCTCATACTCTCAACACTCGCTCCAATTCGAAAACACCTTGTATGAAATACTGATGAAAATATTGTTCTCAAGAATATTCCCTGTGAGATTCATTGACATAGTGGAAAATCGGTGCTGATTTTTATTTTAAAAAATGACCATATTATGCAGTTAAGGCTCGGGTTGAGGTGAAAACTCGAGTGTTGGACACCTACATTTCCATTAATTTTATGCTTGTGTCACCCGTATGCAATCGGTTCGATTTCCATTTTTCTTCGTGGCACATGATGTGACGAAAAAATCGCCCGCATGCCTAAAGAGTATTCGAACATGCAATCATGCAAACGATATTCGAGATTAGGCGGGGAAAAACCTTTGCGCTCGACGCAAAAAATCATTTTCGTCGACGTTTCCTTTGATGAAGTAATCGAAATAATAAATTATAACTTCGCCGGAGACATGCGCGCGACAACGATATTTCCACTGAGATCGAACATTATGTAGTTCGACGGTTCACACGCGGCAATATGTCCTTGACCTCGGAAAAGTTGTCTTTAGTTGGATCCAAATTCGTATATCTTCTAAGACAAAGACCATCAGAAGAAAAATTGATCCATTATGACCTTGAACAAAGAAAGGTTGTCTTTGATTGGATCTAAATTCGTATATCTTCTATAGACAGCGATTCTCAAACTTTCTTGGTGACGGAACCCTTTTGGAAAAATAAATTCCTAACGGAACCCTCCAAAAATTTTAGAAAATTCCTACACCTATCTCCTCTCCCTATCCTCCCTAGGTATATACGAGAAAATGTAGACACAGTAAGTAGAGAGTTAGTAAGGGAATGATAAAAACCAAGTCCAATTAATGAGGAGGCATGAAATTGTTTTCTACTCCGCATCAAATTAGTAATGTCAAGCTTGATAGCAGAAAGTTGAATTCTCATGTCTGGTCCGGCAGTCCAGTCTATAGCGGTACATATTCAGTTTTCAGTTGTATAATATGCTTGATTTTCCGTTTCACACTCGTACGTTTTTGGGAACGGCAGAAGAAAATCATATAGCCTTTCTGTGTCGATTTGTGGAAATTCATCACGAACACTGCACCAAAAATCAATCAGTGAAATTGTGGGAGTAAGCGTTTCGTTTCGATCGTTCTTCTTATCTTAGGTTACTTTATTCCGAGCTTTATTCTTGTACAGTAATTCCATGTATTCGTTTTATTATGACTGCCAGCGGAGCCCTACCGGAGGCATTGCAGAGCACCCGGGATCCGCGGAGCACAGTGAGTAACGCTGTTCTGAGACAAAAACCATCAGAAGAAGAATCAATCCATTATGACCTTGAACACAGAAAGGTGGTCTTTGATTAGATCGAAATTCGTATTTCCTCTGAGACAAAGACTATCACAAGAAAAATCCATCCTAACGATACTGTAATAATTGAAATCATGCAAACAGCTACAGCAGCATCAGGAACAGTTAATTTTTGATTAAAGTTGTTGAGTTCACGTTTATTAAACTTGAACGTATCTATTCATTGACAAAGTGGAATCTATTGTTTTCTTTGTTAGAAATGTTCATTAAACAGGGTATGGCATTGAAATTAGTGAAAATATTTCTAACGCTGCACAAGCTTGTTGTATACTATCGAATGGAACCAATACAAAAAATATAGAGATCAGAATGAAATCTGGGGTGAGACCTACGTTCTACACTAGCAATTTTGACGTCACCTCTGTTTTTCTGTTCGTGAGTAAGGCACAATCACGCGGAGTTCAATCATTTAAATTGTTTCAAAGGGGCGTACTTGATTTTCTTTCCGTTTTCCAATCAATTTTTGTGATGAGATTTCTCGTTAATTATTGTAAGAATTTGAAAAAATCCGACATGGAAATATTCGTTGAACTGTATCATATTGATGTGCTGAATATGTGCACTTCATTCGAAAAAACCTCGTATAGCAATTCGAATATACATAATATGTATTTAGAATAATATTAGGGGACATTTTTTAATTTAAATACATTAGTAACCACAGCAACAGCATTATCTACTTACCTATATTTTCGAAACAAAGTGGAATTATTTTAGTGAAACGAGAAAACTTTTAATAGACTTTAATTCATTTTGATTCCTAGAATAGTAACTACAAATAGATTGTAGATAGCGTTCGCAATTTCATACATTTTAGAATTCAGTTGAAGAACATTTATCTCATGAACCAATAGAAATTCTTGACGCATTCAACAGTACATATAGAGTAAGCCTGGAATCCGACAACTTTCAATTTTTCATCGACACTGCCGGCATTGGGGTTTTTCCAACTACCCTCAGGGACTTTCTTCTTCTTCTTCTCATTCTTATTCTTCGTCTTCATCTTGCTTCTCGCTCTCGGTCAGCTTAAATATATCGCCAGTAGCAGCCATTAAGGAGTCGGATAGTATTTCAGGGCCGAATGTCTTATTGTTTCTAATCCATACACCTGCTACTCCGAATGACTTTATTTGTTACCCTGCTGTACATCGCCCGGTAAGAATTAATGTTTCGGCTACTTCAGCAAATTCGGCACTCGGGGAGAGAATTCACGCCAAATTAACTTCCACTGATTTCGGCCTCCTGATAACGGCCATTAATCAATTATGGTTTTGGAGGTTGATGGGGAAAAAACCGAGAGAAAAACATCGTATTCCGCAGATATCCTTATTATGGTCGGTGATCACCTATTGTTGCGGATGAGACTCGCTAGATATTTTTTCTTGGCAGAAAAAAAAAGTACGTGAAAATTCAGCTTAGATATTCCATTGGAAAAGCAAACAACAAAGAATTGTTGAATCAAACAAAAGTTAATTAAATGAAGCATATAAGTGTTCGATATGCACGACAAAATATAATTTTGAAATGAGTAAATCTATATCTTGTTCCACAGCGAACTTGGAAGTTTGAGTCAAGTAAATAGTAAATATGTCTTTCATGAACTCTGGATCTTATTCAATCAAGCACATCCATGAATTGTTTATGAAGAGATATTGAATTGGCTCAGACAATCATTTTGTTTGATTCAAAATGACATGATATTTATTTAATCAAATATTTGGTTGATTCAATGATATATTTGGTCGATTGAAATATTTTGTTGATTCAATGAATGATTTCGTTGATTCGAGAGAAACTGTATTTCAATTCGATAAACTGTTTGGTTGAACAAAATTCAGTATTGATTCGAGAGTTTCCTGAAATTTCACATCAATAGAATAAAAAACTAAACTAGGAAACTAGTCGACTTCTACCATATAATATATCCTGTATTTCTTTATTACTCTTCAATTTTCAGCTGATGCAAGATTATTTCGGCTTGCTAAGCATCCTCAGTTCGATTTATCCAAACATGAAAAATCAGGCTTCACGTATATAATGACGACGCAGGCATAAACGACGCGAAAAGATCGCCATCTAGTGGCGAAAATCAACCTTGATTAACGAAATATTTTATTGATATTACATATTTCGTTGCACTATTCAAGTAGATGATCCGTCCGAATCGAGTTCATTGCTACGTCGGAATAAGAAAACTTGTATGTTATTTTAAAGATATATTCCTATATCAAAATGATCATTTTTATTTCATCAAATCAACAAAATGTATTCAGTTGAATCAGCATCGACATTATTTTGGATCGTCATAATTTGTTTTTGACAATCATATATTTTGTTGATGGGAATGATATTATACTGTTGATTCAGTTAAACTACATTCTTGATTTGAACAAGCTGATTCCATGAAATAATCAAATATCTGTTTGATTCAACAAAAAAAAGCTCAGTCAATAATTCAAACACAAATAATTTGTTGATGCAACAAATCCTTTTTTCCGTGTAGGTATGAAACAGTTCAATATCGTTATGTGGCCATGAACCTGAACTGATATCCTTCAATTCAGGAATATTGATGTAATCTGACTGAGATAGACAGAAAAGTGTATAGCAAACAATGCGAACAGATTCATTGATAAATAAATATAATCCTGACATGAAATACATGAATACGGAGTTTCTGCAGTGAGAGAATTTCATATGGAAAGTAAACATGTTGAAAATAGCACCCCAGCCTTATTTTCAGCTGTAAAAATCTCATGGATCGATTTAGGCTCAGCCGCGAGTAACACAATATGATAATTTCGATTTAAAATTCTATCTTGGAAGTCCTCACTCTCGAATAGGAGTCGTTCCGTTCTCTGCCAGTGTCTGTATAAAAATGTTTGTTTTACGGGCAATATTAAAAAAGTTCAGATTACAATTGGCTTTTCTCTCAAGTAGCTAGGTAGATAAATTGCGGGGTTCTCGTTCCTTTGATATTTCGACTTTTTCTCACTGCTGCAGTCATTGAGTTCGCGTAATTTAAATCTTTCCCATTGTACCTATATCACCTTTCGGAATTAGACTTCAACAAATAGATCGTGTATATCTATGTCCGCTCAACTTCACCTGTGTCTCTGGAGTTCTAACAAATATACTCACTATACATACATTCAAGGAGATAATGAATAACGACTATAGTTGAAATGTGTCTGGGATTGAATAAATTTATTGGAAGTTCTTGAAGGCGGGCAGTGTATGTTTTACTCGTCTACTGCTCATCATAGTGATCTCTCTATAGAGCTCAAACTTGCTTATTCGAAAATCTAGCAAAAAACTATCTTCTTGTTGAGGTATACTTTTGTATGTCACAGAACGTCATTTATTGTGTTGTTGTTTCTCATTATCCTCTTTTCTCCTCTAAAAATTTGTTTATTGTTTAACATTATTTGTAAGATAATCATTAAAAGATGTTGAGAAACATTGGATACCAAATGATGATGTAGGTACCTATTCATTTGATGAGTCACAAAATAATTTCACACTACTCGCCACTGGTGATGTTATTTATCCACAATTTTATTTGTAAATGCAGCGTTAGCGTTACGTAAAAATCGATTTGCCTTAATGGTCGACGGTTTCAATTGGAAGAAGCGTTTCGTTTGGCTATAGGGCTATAGCAGGGAAGGGCCAGTTCTCGAAATGTTTGTCGAAATTGCTGCACTAAGCGATAAATCAAAATGTTTTATTTGTGAGGAACATTTGCACCAAGTCGTGCTATAGGTTAGGCTATAAAAGAAAATTGAAAACGTTTTATTTTGTAGTTAATCTGTTGGTCTGAAAGCCATATTCATACCACCATCAGTACCGGTTATTTGGAATATCGAGTATAGCATAACGTCGGCGAGATCAAAGGAAAGCGAATGAATGGAGACGGTTTAATATTGGAGCCCATTAGAAGTATGTTATAAAAAATACTGAACATAATCGGTTGAGTATAGTAATTGATGATTGAGTTTTGTATTTTCGATGTGAACAAAATTTTAGCCAAAGGTGCCAAATATTCTTAATCAGAAAAAATGAATTTCATGAAAAATGTTTCATTATTTGATTTCTAATACCGGATCAGACTATCAGTAAAATTGAATTCGTCTATATACGTACATACATAATGTCAACACAATAGCCAAAAACTGTGTGTATATCTTGGTGCTTGACGGTTTTAATATGAAAATTACAACAGCAGATTAATGACTTCCTTATAAAGTATAAGTGACAATGAAAAGATTATAAATTGGGATAATCGTAAATTAGAAAAAGAAAGCATGTTCATTCCTCTTGTTTGACCTCGAATTGACATAACCACTTAAAAATGAGTTATCTGTGCCCACCGGACCATATATCATTAGATCAATTTATCAGGATGAAGACATTGTGGGTGCAACATCAGATATCTTCATCATTTTCTAGTAAATTTATCGCAACTGATTGCAATTTAATATGGCACTGTTGTCCTCGGAATAACTCCGGGCCATGCGACGTTAATTTCAGAAAGAGGACTTCTTTTGGGATTTCATGCCCTTCCTAAGTTACATTCTTTGAATATTCCATTCGCTATATAGATTTTTCGGTATAAATATTTTTTCTACTCACATAACTAAAATGGCATTTAGCGTAAGGATATGTACCACGCTAAATGATCGATTAATCACGGATTGACGATCTGTGATTTATTCGAAATATTAAACACGTTACCATGGCAACACGATTTCTTAAACACATTACCATGGCAACACAGTTCATTAAACACAGCTTCAGTAATTTGACACATGTCTCGTCTGTCAATTGTATTAACTGTCAACTGTTATTTTCAAATTTTGTATCAGATTTATTCAAACAATATTCGTTTGTATCAGAATTCTTCATTGAA